CTCCAGCCTCACAACACAAGCCACCGCAGTACAATGAACTGACAGATGAGTGGTGGCATTGGACATTAGGGAAATGCAAATCAAAACCACAATGAGATACCATTTCACCCCCACTAGGATGGCTATAAAGAGCTCTGGTGGCACAGTGCCTAAGGTATTTGACTATTAATCTGTTGGTGGTTCAAAGGAAGAGGCAATCCATTTCTGTAAAGATATGCTGCCTTGGAAACCCAGTGAGGGTCTCTATGATTTGGAATCAACTTGATGGCAGTGGGTTTTTTTTTTTTTTTGGGGGGGGGTGGCTATAGTATTATTATTATTTTTAAAAGGAAGCAATAACAAGTGTTGGAAAAAATATGGAGAAATTGCAACCTTCATGCATTGCTAGTAGGAATGTAAAATAATTCAGCTGCTGTGAAAAAGAGTTTGGTGGTCTCTCAAAAACTTAAACAGAATTACTACATAACCCAACAATCCCACTCTGAAGTATATACCCTGAAGAATTGAAAATAAGTACTCAAACAAATACTTGTACATGACTGTTCATAATAGCACTATGCACAATAACCAAAAGGTGCAAACATCCAAATGTCTATTAAAGATGAATAAACAAAACATGGTATATATATGCAACAAAATACTACTCAACCATAAAAGGAATAAGTACTGATAATGCTACAGTGTGGAAGAACATCGAAAATATTGTTACATGTAGTCAAGTACGTTCCAAATCATAGCGACCCCATGTACAACAGAACTAAACAGTGCCTATTCCTGCACCATCATCAAAATCATTGCCATGCTTGAACCCATGGTCACAGCCACTGTGCCAAGCCATCTCATTGAGGGTCTTTCCCTTTTTTGCTGACCTTCTTCTGCTTTACCCAGAATGATATCCTTCTCCAGGGACTGGTCCCTTTTGACAGCATGACCAAAGTATGAGCGAAGAAGCCTGGAAGCCATTCTCATTTCTAAGGAGCATTCCAGCTGTATTTCCTCCAAGACAGATTTGTTCATTCTTCTAACAGTCCATGGTACATTCAATATTCTTTGCCAACACCACAACTCAAATGCATCCATTCTTCTGCAGTCTTCCTTATTCATTGTCCAGCTCACATGCATATGAGGAATATGCATTGAATCTGTGCATCACTTTGGGTAGTATTGCCATCTTAACAGTATTAAGTCTTCTAACTCATGAATACAAAATGTATTCATCATCTATTCAGGTCTTCTCTAATTTCTTTCATCAATGTATTATAGTCTTCAGTGTACAAGTCTTTCACTCCCTTGGCTAAACTTACTCCTAGATATTTTCTTTTTTAGATGCTATTGTAAGTGGAAATGAAAGAAACCAAACACAAAGGCCACGTATTGCATGATTCCATTTATATGGAATATCCAGAACTGGTAAATCTATAGAGACAGAAAGCAGATTGGTGGTCACCAGGGACTGAGAGGAAGTGACAATAGTGACTGACTACTTAATGGGTATGAAGTTTCCTTATGGGGTGATGAAAAGATTTTGGAATTAGAAAGAAGTGATGGCTGCACAGCATTGTATTGTACTAAATGCCACTGAATTGTACACTTTAAAAATGGTTAATTTTATGTTATATGAATTTCACCTCACTAAAAAGAGGCAAGTGGTTAAAAAAAAATCTCACTAATAATCATATATATTGTCACTTAAACCCCTAATTTTCTAAGCAGCCTCTCATCACACACTCTCCTGTGTGCCTACTCTCAAGTGCAGTGTCTCTGGTTCATTGTCTCGAGGGAACATACTATTGTCTCCCGTGGGCATGGAGGAGTAGCTGACAGGCTACACGGATTGGGAGTGAAGAGGACTTAAGAGTCTACCTGAAGTTTACACACAGAATGTCAACCAATCGCTCTTGTTCAGGCCCCCACCTTCCCTTATACCTGGTTCTTACAATATCCAGTTCTTCCTGAAATTGGTTTTTGTAGTTACTCCCTATGTGGGTATTTTAGGTTTGACTCACGCCCTGTTTTCTAGATCATTTGCTCTTCCTCTATCTGCTTTATGTCTTCTTGTACTGGGGTTTGGAGTTACCAGTATGTACTAGCTTTATTGAAAATAGAGGCAGATTTTTTTTTTTTCCTCTTTTAGGGTAATTTTGAAAGAAGGGGGCAGAAATGTCTTCACACCACCACTTTAAAACCAGAAGTCTTTACATTGGTGTGCATATCTGGATTACATTTCTGGTTTCCAGTATCCTCTAAATTGTCTGCAGTGGACATACATTACTTTTTATTAAGAAAATGCACACACACACACACACAATAAAAGTTACGTAAAGACAAGAGGGTCTCAAATGGCTTGATGCAGCCCAACTCTGCATCATCCTCTCTCTCCGGCTGAGCCAGCTGGGGCTGTGAAGCCTCTTGCTTTTCTTACCGTAGTTCCCTACACATGTAGCTATTCATGTGGCTCAAAAACCCTTTGCTGTTGAGTCTATTCCAACTCATAATGACCCTATAGAATAGAGTAGAATTGCCCCATAGGGTTTCCAAAGGCTGTGATCTTTACAAAAGCAGACTGTCACATCCTTCTTCCACAGAACAGCTGGTGGGTTCAAACTGCTGACATTTTGGTTAACAGCTAGCGCTTAAGCACTTCACCACCAAGGCTCTTGCCATGTGGCTCAAGCACCTGCTGAAGAGCACACCTTCCTCATCAGAAAGGTACATTCCTGGGTTCCTCGTGTCTTGGCCAGGGCTGGCTATCAAGCAGCCTTTGCCAACCCATCTGTATACAGTTTTAATTCTCACGTGCCATTCTGAATGGCCGTACCTCCAAGTCACAACACTTTTAATAAGAAGTCAGGATGTGTGTACTGCCATGGCACCTATGTCCATTTCCATTGATGCCATTCCAATCAACAGGGAGTGACCATTACCCAGAAATTCTCCATGACCTTTTTCTATAGATCTGTCCAGTCCCTCCACTTGGACATACATGAGTAGCCCAATTGAGGCAGCAGTTCCAACACTCTTGAACTTCAAGAACCTCTACCAGGTTCAAGAGAATCCAAGATCCCAGAATTTAACATGCCCCACAGACCCCATGAAGCTCTGGGTACATGGGGCTAACAGTAACCCAGCCAGGAATCCCAAAGCTGTAGAAATGTCCACATGCTTCCTGAGCCTGAGTATCTACGCTCTCTGATGGGGCTACATTTTGGTCTGAGTACACTGACATTTCAAGCTGTCTCAGAAAATCACAAAGGATTCCAGAACCAGGGGTCCCAGAAGGCTCTTTTCCTCCTTCTCCTCCTCCCTGCTAAGCACCTTCAAGAACTACTGCACTCCTCAAGATCCTCTGCCTCCTCTTCCACTAGAGTTTCCAGCTTCACCGCCTGATCTACAATTAGATTTTGTGGGAATCCCGTGAGACTGACCTAGCCAATTAAATCAGGAAATTGCTCTCTAGATTTAACATGTCCATCAATCTCATCCAAAATGCAGCATTGATTTGGTGGGCTGAGGATTGGAGGACTTTTTAATCTAGCAAAAACTACATTGTCTTTCCCCCCACACACACCACCAAACAGACACACACACACACAAATTTTATTCATTTCTCAGTTAACTGTGGTTTTCTGAAACTCAGCCTTGTAAATACTTCATAGAATAACTCTCATCAATACTCTCTTACCAGACTCATACAGATAATTTTCTCTGGAGTTGGAGCTGTTACCTAGAAGAGTTATTAAGGGGGTGGGCATAAATCTCTCCTGTGATCTTCAAATGTACCTTGTGTCTCTATTCATGTTTATTCCCAACCTCTTTTCCAAAAAGAGTTTAGGATAAAACGTGTGTGCATGAGAGTATGTATGCACAAATGCCCACAAATGAAAAGATGCCCTCTATTAAAGTCAAACTTTACTTGGGTCATTTCCTCCTCCCTGAGAAGACCATCTGTTACCCCAGAGCACTGCTATGATTGAATATGCCATGCCAGGAAGACCACCCCGCCACACACACACATGCACGAAGACAATGTTACATTTGGAGACTGGATATTATCTTTAATTAATAATGCCACAGTTCAACATCCTTTTTGTTGCTGTAGCGGACTGTGATGTGTGTGTACATGTGCGTGTGTTTGTTCTGTATGTTCCTGAACAAATGAGGGGCCAGCAGAGACTCCTAAGCAGGTCTCAGCTAACAACTCTGTTCAGCAGCAACTGGAAGACGGTCTCCAGAGAGACATGAAGGCTGGACTCCAGCCTCCTATGGTATTGAGCTTCCCTTTCTCTGGGCCACTTCTTGCACACTCTGAGGGTGTGAGGCCAAGCCTGTGCCAGCCCAGATTAAAGGGCTTCTCAGCAAAGATCAGCAGCCAGTCTCAGTTCTCATTGCTTCTGACAGGAGTGCTGTCCCTTGGGCAAAGTGCAGACTGCTAGGCAGAGGTGGACAACATGGGCCAGCCTTGGTCCCCTATGTCACACTAGGGCAGCACCATAATGGCCCAGCCCTGGGCAGAAAATCCAGAGCTACGAGGGCCATTTGATTAGTTCTTTTCAGAGATAATCAGGATACAGCCCAAGCCCTTCCTAGGGCCAGCCAGAGAGGGGCAGATTTAGCTTGTGATGGCCACAGGAAGTCCTTTCCAACTCAAACTTAAAGAGCCTGCCCTCCTGCCATCTCCACTCTCTAATTCCTCACATGCCCAGTAGGTCCGCAGCCCAGACATAACAGGGAGTGAGTCAGCATGATGGTGGGTCACAAGGAGGCCATGAGAGATGTGGGTGAGCTGGGACAGCAGCCATGTGCCAGCCTGAAGCCAGCTCTTTCCCCCATGAGCACCATCAGCCAGAGCTCTCTGAAGCCAGATGAGACCCCCCCCACAAGACAAGGCAGCAAGTTCTTGGTCTACTGTGGAGGGAGAAGACCAAACTGGCTCCACTGTCCCATCACCACCTGCTCTGTGCCTTAGGAAGGCAAGAAGCCCAAGTCCCAGGATGGTGGTATCAGCTATTGGGGAAGCACCGTTGTCCAGGTGAGGCCTCAGGCCGGAAGCTGGGTTTGTTCAGTGGGCTTGGGTAGTAGGTGGTTGTATACACATTGGTCTGCTGCAATGGATAGAAGTTGGCTCTGTCATCAGGAATCAGGTTATTCTTGTTCAAGGTCTGTGGGAGGAGAAAGGAACCAAAGAGGAAGGGGTGAAGGGGGAGAAAAGGGAAGGGGAGAGGCCAAGACAAGGAGTCCATGAGCCAGTCAGTGAAGGAATGTGCTGGTTTCTCTGTTCACACCACCACCGCTTCCTCCCAAGCATCCAGCCCAGCTATTCCCTTGACCACTCCACCTTGCCCTTCTACCCTGCCCTGTTTCTTGGTCTTTTTGAGCCCCCACCTTGAACTCCATGGGTGTATACTTCTCATTCTTGGGGGTGCCCCCACCCTTGTAATGCAGGTGGTTGGGGGTTGCAGGATGGACAAGTGTGGACTCCTGGGACTGGCGCTGGCAGTGCTGGCAGGACAGGTACACCACCAAGGTCAGGAGCCCAGAGCCCAGGAAGCAGGAGAAACCTGTGGCTACCAGGTGGATGAGATTGAACCCTGGGAGAGGGAGAGGCAGGTAGTTAGAACTGGGCCACTATAAGCAGGGGAGACTCTGGGCTGTCTCCTTGGGCTTTTCAGGATAGAAAAAGCAGCAACAGCAATAGGAGGCTCTGACACATAAAAGGGCTTTGAGGCCAGAGCCAAACAAAACAGGCTAGGCAGCTTATTATCAGGGACTTCTGTCACAGGACAACCTGTGGCTTTAGTCTAAGGTGGCAAGAAGAGGGTCTATTGTCACATGACTCTTCTTTGGGTACACACTTGATGACAGGCTCCTAGCTGAGGGACATGGATGGAACTGCTTAGAACCCCAATTCTCATGTCCTCAAAGCATTAGGGGACCCCTACATGTCTTGGTTATCTGGAGCAAGAGGTGGGGAGAATCCGGATTTTGGAGTAGGGGGGTCTCCTCATTGAGAAGGAGTAGAAAGAAGGTGCCATGAGATGAGGGTCTGGTTCCTTTTACCTCCACAGCCGGTGGCCTCCTCCACACTGGAGGCAGGGAGGATCACTGTAGGAAGACAAGCCAGAGAGGGGTTAGGAGAGGGAAGGGGTGTAGGTCACTCCAGGGCTATGTGCGGATTTGGGAGGACCCCTGGGGTCAGCACAGAGCTGTGGGACTGGGGGGCCTTTATTTCTCTTTGTCTCTACCCAGACTTCACCTCTAAAAAAGTTTAGCTCATTCACTAGGAGTGGCAAAAACTTAAAGTGAATGAGTGAGTAAGGTATTTCATACTGACATGGAGACATGCTTCAGAAGGGGAAAGAAGGTGGGGAACTGGGGTGGGAAGGGCTTGTGTGAGGGTGCTGACATCAGGACCTACCAGGAATCTCACGGTAAGGGCAGGGGCGACTCTGGCTGCTGTTTCCAGTGCAGGAGCTGGGCCCTGGGATGAGCTCTTCACAGTGCCGGCTGCGGCTCTGGGTTCCATCTTCAGTGCATGCACTCCACTCAGACCACAGCGACCAGCCTTCTGTGAGTTATGATGAGGTTAACCTCCCTAGAACCTCCTGCTGATGCTCCCTAGCCCTGGCCAGATGCACCCATTACCTGGGCAGGCCTGTGTTGCACACAGTGCCTCTTCCGTGTGCAGGCCAAGACAGATGTCCTCACCCGGGGAGGGTGCAGGGCTGGTGCAGGAGCGTGTGCGTTGATAGTGGCCTCCACCACAGGAGGCTGAGCACGGGGACCATGAGGTCCAGCAGGACCAGGCTCCCCGCACTGCAAAACGAGGCAGTATATGAAGAAGGATGAGGGCCCCAAGTCAGCCTTCCACTTCCACCCAGGCTGGGCTACACAGACCTCTGGCTTCTAACCCACCTAATCCTTCACACTCAATACCACCCCTACCCCAGCCCATTGTTAGGAAGCACCCCCACCCTCAGAGGTGGCAGGAGAAATGCAGGTAACAACAAAGAACCCAAGACAGGAGAGAAACCAATTGCATCTCAGTCAAGTTTCTCATCTGGCCAACCCATCAGGGGAGAAGAAAATGTGACAGAGTGAAGGAAGACCCTGTTCTACAGGAGAAGCTGCTGAATCCATACTCGGGGCAGAAAACTGCTCTGGGCCTCTTGCACAGAACTGGCAGAGAAAAGCAATCACCTGGGCAAGGGGGTTTCTTGGATTGGAGGTGGGCTCAACGGATCTGAAAATCTCCTAACTGGTTTATGGAAGTAGGGTGTTTCCCCAGGCAGGATCTAACCCGAGGCAAGGATTTTTTTTTAATGAGAAAGATTACCTGGACAAGCATGAGGATTGCAGTCCTGGTATTCAGCGGCATCGCCCACACACGGCAGGCCCCCATTGCGGGGCTCCGGGTTCGTGCACGTTCTCTTGCGAACACGGAAGCCCAGTTCGCAGTCCCGAGAGCAGGACGACCAGGGGCCCCAGGATGCCCAGCCCCCGCTCAGCGTGTGCGGGGAGGTGCTCCCGCTGCGCAGGAGGTCATCTACCAGGGCTGGGGAGGGGACTGGCCTCAGCGATGGGGGTGCCCTGCGCCTCACCCACTACGACTCACATGGCTCCTGCCGTATTCCAAACCACGTATTCGTGCCCACGTGAGATTAGCTCCCAAGCACCCTCACCCCAAATCCCATCGCTCTGGGGCCTGGGAGGGCAGCAGGTGGGGAGGGTATAGGAACATACCGTCAGTGTCACATGCTCCCGAGCCATCCGCGGGGCAGGTCCTTGTTTCTGTCCTTCTCCTGCCGAACTGCAGGCCGTGGGGGTCCGGCAGGGGCGCGCGGCATGTGAAGCGGAAGCGCTGCTCCTGCCGCGCCCCGCTCTGTGTCACGTTCACGGGCAGCCATGGCGTCCACGGCGTGTTGCGCCGCACTTCGGGACAGCTCTCTGGGTTGCACGTCTTGAACTCCTTGGCGGCGGAGCAGGTGTTGTTTTATTGCTCCGCAGCCGCCAGGCCTGCCCTGCGCCTCCCGCTCCATCCCCTGCTTGCCCACCCCTTGGCCCGATGTCCTGGAGTCCCGCCTGCATTCCCCACTCTCGGACCCACCACGCCGCAGCCCGGGCAGGAGTTGCCATTCTCACAGGACCGCCGCCGTGACTGCACGCCACCCCCACAGTTGCTGCTGCATTTGCTCCAGGAGCCCCAGGATGCCCAGAAGATGGGCACTGGGCAGGGCGTGTTTTCGTTACAGAACCTGAGGTGGGTGTGAAGAAGGAGTTGTCACCCTAGGGAGCGGATACCCCCTCCCTAACATGAGGTCACTGGGAATGTGGAGCCTGGGAAGGATGAGTCCCCTGGATCAATTGGAGAATCCAGGCCACTTTCTAGGGACCTCGGGAAGTCTGCCATCTTGGGGAGAGCTTGTCATCAGAAATGTCCAGGCCACACCCTAGCTCACCGCTCCTCTCGGCTCTTGCCCACGCAGATGCGGCCCCCGTGGCGGGGAGCAGGGTTGCTGCAACTTCGCTGACGGACCTGGAAGCCAATCTCACAGGACGTGCTGCATAGGGCCCACGATGACCAGGGGGTCCATGCCCCATTCCTGGTGGAGTCCCAGAGGGGAGAGAGGCAGATGACCCTTTGAGCCCTACCTTCTTAGATCTAGTCCTAGCCCACTTTTGGGCAAATGGATTTTGTGCTTTTGTCAGGAAGTTTCAGACAGTCACTCAGAAATAGCCTCTAATCAGGCCATGGAGCCCTGGTGGTGCAGTGATTAAGCACCTGGCTGCTAACCAACAGGTGGGCAGTTCCACCCATTAACCCCTTAGCAGGAGAAAGATGTGGCAGTCTGCTGCCTAGGATTTACAGCCTTAGAACTGGAGGCAGTGCTGTGCTGTCCTACAGGGTCACCATGAGTTGTAATCCACTCTAGGGCAATGGGTTTGGTTTTAACCAAACATCATCTCAGATAAACTCATTCATTCGTTTTCTCATTCACTCCTCAAAATATATTGAGAGCCTTCTTCACATATCAGGCTGTGCTCAGTGCTAAGAGCACAGATAAAGGACATAACCCCTACTCACAGGGGAATAAGACACATCTCTAGAGAAGGCCACCACTCACCTTTCTAATCTGCAACCTTGATTTCAACCTTCTGGGCTGGCCGGTCTTGGCACTCAAACCTATGCTTTCCCCCTGTTCTACACTATACATGCTTTGCTCCAGCCTGAGAACAAATCATTCTTGTCTACTTTGACTCCAGTTTTCAAATTTTGGCTCTACCAGCTTACCACCTGGGCAAGTTACTGAAACTTCCTTTGCCTCATAGTACTCTTATCTGTAAAACAGGGATAATGATTATATTCCTACCTCATGAAGTAGTTTTGAGGATTAAATTAATAAATGTATATAAAACACAGTTATTTGAAGAGTGTGAAGCACCTCATAAGGATTAGGTGTCCCACCTAATTATAACTACTATTTATTGAGACGTCTCTCTCCCACTAGAGTCTCACTCCTCCAGGGCTCATGTTTCCTGCCTCAAACACCTGCCACTTGTCCAGTGCCCTACATGGCCCTGGCTTCTGTCCTTCAGAGCAAATACCTAGGGGTGCCCCACCCCTCTTCCCTCCACCCCATCCCCAGGAAGCTACTGTCAAGCCCTGTTTCCTCACATACCTGGAACAGTTGGCAATATGGATGGCTGGCCCCAGGCAGTCACGGCCCCCACAGCGGGGTCGAGGAGAGTCGCAGGCTCGGGCCTGACACAGGCAAGAGCCTGAATTATCTCCATCTAAGTGCTCACATGGTTGCCATGGTGACCATGGGCCAAAACCCCCATCTTGTGTCAGGTCTCGTACCTGCAGATACACGAGGGAGGCAGGAGACCCCTGTCATGCAAGCAGCAGGGAAGACACAAGTTCCCAGGGAACTCTGGGGATGCTGATGGGGAGTCAAAGCCTGAATTGGGGGGAAGAGGCCTGTGGGTGGGGTGAAGAAGTGGGTTCTCACAGGACACGCTGTGATGTTCTGGGTCCAAAGGCTCATGTTGGAACTGTCCTCAAGGGTACTGCAACGTTGCTGCTTTCCATCCCAGCCACAGTACGGGTCCCGAGCCCCTAGGCATGCCCTGCCAAACAGAGGTCCTGAGATGCAAGTCCACAGGTCTCCCACCTCCCCTGCATCCCAAGAATACACCTGGATATTCCTCTCTGGGAACCCCTTCCCATCAATGTGTTCTTAATAATAATGATTAAAAAAACAACAACTACTAAGTTTATTTACTGTGTACCAGACATTCATTTATAAGCAAGAATTAATTTAATACAACAACCCAGTGAGGTAGATGCTGTTATTATCCCCAAGTTATAGATGAGGAAACACAGCTGACCAAGGATTCAAATCATCACCCTCCATGGTCCACACACTTCACCAAAAGATTGTACTGCCATCCCTAAGTTTAAGTGCCCCACACCCCTCATCCAGC